CTGCGGGAGAAAGATGAGGCGTTCTGCTCCCATAAAGATTTACAGCCTCGGAAACCCTGTACAGGGTCGCTATGAGTCGGAACCGACTCCACGGCACAGAGCCACCATATGCAAGGTCAGTGGTTCAAGCTCACCAGCTAGCTGCTCCTTGGAAACCCTATTACAGGGTCGCTATGGGTCGGAATCGACTTGATGGCACTTAACAACAACAACATACGTTTCTTATGGAGTCTTGGTATGGCGCTGTGAGTTACTGCACTGAATAGTAAAGTTGGTTTGAACCACAAGGTTGTTTGTTCAAGCTCATCACCCTCTCCTCAGAAACCCTATACAGGGTCACTATGGGTCGGAACTGACTTGATGGCACTTAACAGCAACATATGTTTCTTATACAAACATGATGTAACAGCCATAGTTCCTTCAGAAACTTAGCAAACTAAATCTGTATCTCAGGACCAGAAGAATCTTTTTGCTTGTTCCTTTGAAGAAATGAAAGTGCTTGGTGTGAAGGTGCTGATGGAAGAAAGGTTGAAAACATTTTGCCCACATTTAACATTTAAACTTTTTTTTTAATCTTTCAGTATTCTACCTTGTAAATACTGTTATTTGTATATACTGTAAATGATGACATCGGTGGGCACTAACCGAGCCCGGGGAAACTGGGAACAACCTCAAAACCAAAACCAGACACAGCACAAGCAGCGACCACAGGTAAAAAACCCGAGATAATGGATCCATGGGTAGCCCTACTGGTTGATTATGGTTTTCATCCAATATAGCATTAGTCTGTTTTGGGTTATTGATTTCGGTTCTTTTATTCTTTTCTAGTTCTTGGGTCTTTTTCACTTAGGATCCGATTACTTAATGACACACTGTTATGCAACAAGCTTTTTTGTTTTTTAATATTGCATTATGAGGCTTAGAAAGAATGGGACCTCTAAAGTAGTGTTTCCCTTCTATCATCTGGGCCACTTTAGCAATACATTCCTTATTTTCTAGGCCTTAAATCTTGACATCTCTCTAGCCAATCTTTATCTCACCACTTCTTTCCTTTCAGATTTTATTCTTTGATCCTTTCTCCCCTGAATTGCCTTTATATCTTCCTCTCTAAGGAGCTCTGGTAGCGTAGTGGTTACGAATCGGGCTGCGAACCATAAGGTCAGCGGTTCGAAACTACCAGCCGCTCCGCGGGAGAAAGATGAGGCTTTCTACTCCTGTAAAGATTTACACCCTCGGAAACCCTGTACAGGGTCGCTATGGGTCGGAACCGACTCGACAGCACTTAACAACAACAATCTCATTGAAGGCTTATCTGATTTTTTTCCTTCCCCATGAGGAGTTGGCATTTTCACTGTGTTCCTTCAAAATTAACAAGTAAGAGACATCTTTGAGCATCGTTCAGTTTTAAGTTTTTAGGAGTAAATTAACCTCCTGGGTTCTGAGGTATATGTGTTTTTTTCTTACTTGTTTTTATTTTAGTTTGATTTTTATATGCAGAGGCTTCCTCATGGGAAAATTCTATTATCTTTGTCCTGTTTCCTTAACCACTTTAGTGTTTGTTGATCCCTAATTTGAATGAATTACAGACATTTGGTTATGGTAAGATAAATTGAAGAGATTAGGCTACAATTTTTCCCTTACGTGTTTTTCTTTCATCATTATTTTCCAAGTGAATTTCTAGCAGGATTTTAGTATTTAATCTCAGTTGGGATAGTAAAATTCCAGGTAATTTATACACCAGATATGCTGTGTCTATCCTCAAGATAAATTTTAATGTATTGATAATTAGAGGAACTGGAACAAGATTTACACATGACTTTATAAGTAATTGCAGTAATAGGAATTAAGGGACATGTTTCAAGGTAGTACGCTTCAAGATGAAAGCTCTTTTTAATTATGAACATTGGTGGGAAAGATTCTTGCTTTTTAGAGGTCGTAGAATAAAATAGTGGTAGTTTTACAGTCATTTCGTTGGAATCTCTAGATGGCACAGATAGTTAAGCACTTGACTAGTAACCAAAAGGTTTATAGTTTGAACTCAGCCAGAGGAGCCTGGTAGTGTACTGGTTATCAGTTGGGCTGCTAACCTCAAGAGGTCAGCATTCTGAAACTACCAGCCATTCCGTGGGAGAAAGATGAGGCTTCCCACTCGCGTAAAGATTTACAGCCTTGGAAACCCTGTGCAGGAACCAATTCGGCCCAGCACCACCACCACCACCAGAGGAACTTGGAAGGCAGGCCTAGTGATCAAATACCTATGAACAGTTTTATTTTGACACATGGGGTTGCTCTGAGTTAAAATTGATTGAATGGCAACTAATAGCCAAAACAATAAATGGTAATTTGTGTTTTTGGTCATTTGTAGTAAGGAGAAGGAAGCTGGAAAATGGGAGGGGTTTGACAGGTTCCTCTAATTTGTCTATAAACTGTTGCCTTGATCGTACTTTCTTGATTTCTTCTCAATTTGTAGGCCACTGCGGAACAAATTCGACTTGCACAGATGATTTCGGACCATAATGATGCGGATTTTGAGGAGAAAGTGAAACAAGTGAGTATACCACTCATTTGTTAGAAGTTGTAAAAAATTAACCTTGGGATTAAAACACAGATGCCCACCAGAATACTTTTACTATAAGCATCGAAAGAATTATGACTTGAAATATATTAAGCCATTGAATAATGCTTTCATTATCTGATTCACTGTACAGCTTTGCACCGATACCTTGTTCATAAAGGTTTCATCTCAATTTTAATCTCTGGTTTCTTGAATTCTTTAATATCTTTTTTCAGCAATTTTGAGCAGTTGTGGAAATTCATGGTATGTTGAAGCCTGTATGTTTTAGGTTTTGATTTCTCTATTTCATATTTAATTAAGGCTATGGCTTTGTGAATACTTTTGAGCCCCTAGCTTCAAACCAGAAGTGCCTTTGGGAGTGAATATCAAAATGCTGCATATTTTACTTTCTAAGTCTGATCCTTTCAAACTTGGCCTTTGTCTTCTCCCTTTTCTCTTTATCTAGATTCATTTTGTTGGGTACAAGATTGCATGTGATTGATTGCTGATATTTCTTTTTCAGTTGATTGATATCACAGGCAAGAACCAGGATGAATGTGTGATTGCTTTGCATGACTGCAATGGAGATGTCAACAGAGCCATCAATGTACTGCTGGAGGGAAACCCAGACACGGTATAGTACTATAATAAAGGGTTCTAAACAATGGGTTCCCATTTGAGAGGATAGTAATAGTCTAAAAATAGCAAGTGGGATAACAATAAAGCAGAGTACCTTATTCTCCAAGTGGAGAAGGGAATTCTAATAGCATAGAGGTCGTTTGCTGCAGACTGTAAATACTAAAAAAATTTATAATATACATCCCTTCATGGGGATAACAGTTGTAGGAGAAAACAGATGAATTCAGTCTCTTCTAATTAACCTGGAATAAATTATTCATTCTAGGCTAGTGACTGTTTTCAAGGCTGGGTTACTGAATTAGAGGTGTTATTTGATAGCCTTAGTTATTAATCAGAAAGAATCCTGTGTTTGTTTTTTTTTAAATTTATTTATTGCTATTGAACAGAGTCACAAATGACTCCATTCTGAATTCAGGACATTCCCATCTGTATATCAGCATAGCATCTCAACAGTATCATTTTGTGTGTGAATTTATTTGTGTTGAGGTAGCAGACAACACATAAGCTTTATAATCTATTGACCTCTGGAGATGATAGGGAATATTGAGTAGGATCCTCTCTTGCCCTGAAATTTAGATACGTTGTTTCACCTCTTCCTCTTCCCACTTAATGAGGATTGTTGACTATTCTATATTTCTGTGCTTGTTTTTGTACCAAGTTATATACCGTTTAAGAATAGGAACACAGCCTTCCTAACTTTTGGATGTTCCTGCTGTATAGTAGAGGTTTATTTTCTCTCTTTTTTTAAGAGAGTAATGTTTTGTGAAGTAATTTTCATTTGCTTAGTCCTGCACTGAAGATTTTTGGTGGGGACAGGCATCAGAGCACATCCTTAGGGGTACCAACCTACTGACTTTATAGTCAGTTACCTTGTAGCTCAATGCTAGAGGTTTGTTTCCCTGAGGCAATGACAGATAGTAGTGGAAATGAAGTTTTTTTAAAACACTGAATAGAAATTTGTTTTATTTTTTCTGAAGTGCAGTCCTAGATTAAATTTTTACATCATTGGCTTTATTTGAAAATTCACTGGTTGGACAACCATTTGACTTATGCACATTTTGCCTGACTTCATCATCTTCTACCTAATGCTATAAATCTGATATTCCATAATATGAACAAAGAAAACAAACTGTAGAGTGTAGGCCTCTGTCACAAATTAACCAGCTACTGGTGAAATCAGTCCTGGTGTGGTGGTGTGGGTTAATGCGCCAGACTGCAAAGCCGTTTGAACTGCAGGGTCGGTGGTTCAAGCTCACCAGCTGCTCCTTGGAAACCCTTAAACAGGGTCGCTATGGGTTGGAATCAACTCAGTGGCACTTAACAATAACAACAAGTAAAGCAGTCACCTGTCAGGGTTGTTGGTTGTACGAGGGTAAGTCAAAACAAAGTATTGATACTGGGCTTCTAGCTCATACATGCACAGGTTTGTTTTAAACAAAACATTTAAACATGTCTCTGATCAGTAGGTGACTGTAGACAAGTTCTCTCAGTAATACACTTTTGTTAGTCTTATTTAAGTGCTGTCAAGTCGGTTCTGACTCATAGTGTCCCTGTCTGGGGTTTTCGAGAAGCGGCTGGTGGGTTTGAGCTACTGACTGACCTTGGTTAGCAGTCTGGTGCTTACCCTACATTGCCACACCAGAACTCCAGTCTTAATTAAGGTGCCTTTTCTTTTCTTTTTTTCTTTCTTTTTTTTTTTAAAGAAATTCAGTCACAACAGTGACTTCCAAGAGTCTATGTTAGACCAGTTACATTCAAGGCAGAGGCCAGCTCAGAATGTTATGGTGACTGGGTTTTTGGGTACCAAAGGGATAACCTTGATAAAAGTATAAGCTCTAGTTGAAGGATACAGGACGATATGGTGACTTATGAAGATGTTTTAAGAAAATTGAAAACTGCATTGGTAAGAAAGAAGGCCAGGAATGGTGCATCAAGAATTTTTTTCCATCATGACAATTTCATCTGCTCATTGCTCAAGGGTGGCAAGGGATTTTTGTTGGGAATCCATACCCCATCCACCCTACATTCCTGATCATGCTTGCTTTGGACTTTCTGCTTCTAAAGTCTCAAAGACTATGATTTAGAAGGAACATGATTTGAATCTTTTGACGATGCCAAAACTACCATTTTGATGTGATACAAATTGAAGAGTGTAGAATCTTCAGGGAAGGGTAAAAAGAAATGGAAATACCACCTTCAAAAGCCTATAGACTTAGATGGAGATTATGTCAAAAAGCAATAGCTTCACGTTTTGATTTGTTTGTTTAGTGAAGGTTTCTGTGATTTTGTAGAACTACTTTTGGCTCGGAAACCCTGTTGAGGGTCGCTATGGGTCGGAACCGACTCGATGGCACTTAACAACAACAACGATAACAACTTTTGGCTTCAAAAAGATTTTGGGGAAAAAAATGGAATGAAAAGAGCGTGGATTTTTTTCATGAACTTTTTGAAGTGCCCTTGTATTTGGGTGGGTGAGATCATATCAGGAAACTGGCAGTGCTTTTGGGAAGATTATAGTAACTCTTTCTTTATAGAATATATCTGGTGCCAGCAGTTGATGTATTCCACAGGGGAGGGAGAAAGATGACAGGTTGCCAGGTTTTGTGACAGATTAATATAAGCTCTAGTAAGTGACTGAAGACTCTAAAAGTTAACTGTTTGAATACAGTTTATAGGATTCCTGAGCTTATAGTTAGCTTTAAGGGTACTATAACTTCGAATTTGAGCTTAGCATAATGTGCAATGGGCTTGGGTTGCAAGTACAGTTAGCAAGGAACTGCTGAGTTCTAGGTGGATACTTAAATGTTTTTAAAACAGTTATTACTTTAGTAAGCGTTATAGTAGATTGTATTAAGGATATGTGGATATTCTGCTAATTAAATGGTTAGAAGTTTACTTTTAATAAATTAGAGCATGGTTATTAAAACAAAACTATATAAAGTGAAAAAAAATTTACCTGTAATTTTGCCACCCAGAGAAACCATTGCTAACATTTTGGTACATAGTTTTCTAGACTGTTTTAAGTGCAATACATAAATTTTTAAGATGGGATCATATTAGACATAGTGTTTTATAATCTACTTTCGACTTAATATATTCTGACCATTTTTTCCATATTTATCTAGGTATATGCATCATAATACTCTTGTTTATTTTTCCAAACTATTTAGAAAAAAAACGGAATGAAAAGAAAAATTTTAAATCTGGAAAAATACTATAATGAACAATTACAGACATTTCACTACATTTGCTGCTTTATCTTTATATGTATATTTAGATATAGTCTCTCTATGGGGGGGGACTGAACTATTTGGAAGTAAGTTGTAGCCATTATACTTTATTCTTTAAATTTTTCAGCCTACTTTTTTTAAAGGAGGATGACACTGTCTTACAGCATCACAATATCATCATAGCTGAGGAGATAAAAATGTGATATTATCTAATATCCAGTCCATATTTTTGAAAGTTATTAGTTTTCAATTATTCTCGTTGTTTGAGGTAACTGGGATAGTCAAGATTTGAACGTTTTGGTGTTCATGCTGGAACTTGTACAAATTTCTGCAGCCACTTAAATATGTAAATCAAGGTATTGAAATTTTTAACTCAAATGCAAATTTTCTTGAATAAGTGTTTTACAAAGGAGCTTAACTTATTTTCTGTAAGTTTTTCTTCTACAACCTCAAATGTGTTATAGATGATTATTCTTTAGGGAGAGTTGGATTGGATTATATTTGTTTAAGACAGGAGAGCACAGCTGATAGAACCTGGATGGACGCCTTCATATAATCAGAGCTGTGCTTTCCTGGCTGTTTTTTGATCTTTTAAAAATAATGGAAATTACTTTGTGTTTGTGCTTATATGTATGGTTTTTTCCTCCTAAATTCTGATTGTTTGGTTAGGAAATGTGTCTAGGAGCTGAATACTCTGCTTTCTTTCTTATTTTTTTGATATGACAAAAGTGTACTATAGAAAGTTGGGGGTTACTGAATCCAAAATAATTTTTTTTTTTTTCCCTTAGCCAAGGAAATTGAAAGAAAAGGACTAGTAGTTAGGTACTTTGACTAATCCTATGGGTGAATGAACTAGATCTAAGAGATCTTAGTGATCTTTTGGAAGTGGTCCCTTCCGTCAGTTTGCTACATGCACCTTTTCTACAAAAAAAAAGTTAACTTTGGCATTACTGGATACAAATCTGTTTTAAGATTCTGTCTGTATTCTACATAACATAACATAAAATAACATAACAAACTTGAACAAGTGTCTTAGACACGGGATGTTGAGAGAATGGTTATATTAATCAGTTGTCTTGGCTTTCATCTCTGCTGTCTTTATAGCAGCCTATATTGATTAGACATAAACACTCTACATTCCTTTAGCATTCCTGGGAGATGGTCGGGAAGAAGAAGGGTGTCTCAGGACAGAAGGATGGTGCCCAGACGGAATCCAACGAGGAAGGCAAAGAAAATCGAGACCGGGACAGAGACTATAGTCGGCGACGTGGTGGACCACCAAGACGGGGGAGAGGTGCCAGCCGTGGACGAGAGTGTATGCATGGGGCTTTATCAAAACCAGCTGTGGGTCACACTATTCTCCAGCTAGTTCTCATGTTAAATCCTTCATTTCCCCTTCACTATTTTTGTCCCTTCCCACAAAATATACATACCATCTTTATGTGTGTATGGGTGTGTGTATATATATAAAGTGGCATTGAATTGGTTCTGACTCATTAATGACCCTGTATAGGGTTTCCAAGGAGCAGCTGGTGAGTTTGAACTGCTGACTTTGAAGTCCAGTGCTTAACCTGTGGCACCACACCAGGACTACACACATACACACATATATATATAATATATGTATACTATACTTACAGTGCTCTGGCCATCTATGTAATTTTCTGTGTTTCAGTTCGGGGTCAGGAAAATGGATTGGATGGCACCAAGAGTGGAGGGCCTTCTGGAAGAGGCACAGAAAGAGGCAGAAGGGGCCGTGGCCGGGGCAGAGGTGATCAGTTTGTATGTGTGGGGGTGTGTGTGAAGTGGATATTGAGGGAAAAGGTACTTTTAGTTCTTTTAGGGGTGTGCATTATTATAAATAAACTCAAATGGAGCCTGTTTATCTTAATTGTTGAGTTATCATGCAAATACTAGAGATTACTCAATGGGGAGTGGGAAAGAAGGTACACATCATTTTCCCTCATCGTTATTGCTGATACTGCTGTATTTGCTTGAGGACCCAACAGTTTGGGCAACAAAAGAATGATCTGTTGCAGTAACACTTGTCCTACATGTTATCTGCTCTGCTACATGAAACTGAAAAGAATCAACCAGTATACCATTCCAGAGCTGGAAAGGTGGTTTAATAGCAACTTCTAAAATTACTTTTCTCTCACTTTTTCTTTATAGGTGGCTCTGGTAGGCGAGGAGGAAGATTTTCTGCTCAAGGAATGGGGTAAGTATCAGTGACCTCATGCCATAGTCTTTTATTTTTGTTTCTAAGAATCACCAAAATATCTTACAGTGGCTAATATCTTGTTATGCTGCAGATTATAGGCAACTGTAGCCAAACTGATCAAAAAGATTTCTAGACTATTTAATCAGAAAGATGTGTGGATTTAATGCTTGTTTTTTAGGAATTAGTATTTACCACCTAGATCATTGTTTCCATTTTAATAGTTTCATTTAAATGCTTATACCTGCTATCTTCCTAAAATTTCCATAGGAATTATGTTACGAATTTTGGTGTCTTAGTGGAATTGACTTGGCAGCTATCACTTTGGGTTAGCTTGGAATGGATAGTAGAAGTTACACTGTGAAATTCTGAGAAAAAGTAGACAAGGGTATAGGCTTTTAGTACGGGACCATAATTGATCTGCATGAGATAGGAAACGGTCAAGATTATTCTGATTGTTATCCTCTTTGAGTTCATATTTTGTGGTACTTAGAGGTCAGAGTTTTCAAAGCTGTATGTCGTTTTTGGGTGTTGTTGTTTTTTTTTCAGAACCTTTAACCCAGCTGATTATGCAGAACCAGCCAATACTGATGAGAACTATGGCAATAGTAGCGGCAATACATGGAACAACACTGGCCACTTTGAACCAGATGATGGGACGAGTGAGTGAGCATTTATTCATTTCTTACTTCTTTGGGAATCTAAAGGAGTATATTTTTGAAGTTACTAGTTACTTTGAAAAGTAGAAAAATAGTTTTTTGGTGCAGAGGTAGGGTGAGAAAGAGATGGGGAGTTGAATTACTGTGTACTGTGTGCTTGTGGGCACATTGTGCCTACTTGTTCACTTGATTCTCATCACTATTTGGTAAAAGAGACACGATGTATCCTCACTTCCCAGATAAGGAAACTAAGACTAAACTAAACTAAGACTATGAAACTAAGGTTATGAAACTTGCCTTGTATTTGAACTCAGAATGTTTGACCCTAAAAGCCTGTATTCTTTTTTATTAATGTGGCTGTCCTTAGGTCCAAGTGTATTTTGTATTGTTCCTATTAGCATTGAAAAGATATTTGGGAAATAAAGCCACTATTTGTAGAAATGAGCAGGACCCAGAATCAAAGCCCACTGTCTGTTTCCCAATACCAAGATAGGAATATTTGTTTGTCCTTTCATTTTGAGGGGAATCTGAATGTCTGGGCAAGAAGGAAATCTCTAGCCTTCTTGGCTCTCTTTGTTGGACAGCCTTCTGGATGTGGTGGAGCACTGTTACAGGATTTGAACCAGATTGCTTTTTTGTTAGTTGATTTGGTGTCTGCCATCTTTGTAGAGTATAAATGTTTAAGGATATGTTGTTGTTAAAAGTGCCATCCAACTCATAGGGAGCCCTGTGTGTAGGGTTTTTGAGGAACAGCTGGTGAATTTGAACCACCGACCTGTGGTTACCAGTCCAGTGCTTTTCCTACAATGCCACATCAAGATATGCTAGGCCTTGTATAATACACTATAAGATATGTTTGAGGGCAAAAGATAAGTGTGTTTCTCTAAATAAAAGCAGTCTCTAAGCTCCAGACTGGTTTTTGTTGTTAGTTGTTGAGATCAACAACCTCCTTCTGTCTAAGCTGACACATGGAGGTGGAGAGTATGAGGCTTTTTTATCTATATACAGAAAGTGCGGATGAGTTTAATAGGGCCTGCAATAAACTCTTTGACTCTTTTCCATTTAATTTGCCTTGTAGCGTACTGGTTACGAATCGGGCTGCGAACCTTAAGGTCAGCGGTTCGAAACTACCAGCTGCACCGCGGGAGAAAGATGAGGCTTTCTACTCCCGTAAAGATTT